TGGTTTTCGTGCTGCTCATGATGTACACTTCGGGCCACTTGCTGTAAGCGTCGAGCACTATGAGAAAGTTCTGGCCATTGATTGAGTCTGCAAAGTCGACATGAACACGGCTCTAAGGTTTAGTTGGTTTAGGCCACGAGTGGAGTTCATTCTTCTGCGGTGCCCTTGAAGCGGTAGCGCAGTTGCCACAACTTCTAGCTGGCTGCTCCAGCTGTCTGTCCATAAATGGCCAATACGCACAACTTCGAGCAAGCGCTTCCATTCGGTTGAGCCCTTGATGTCCTGCATGGAACTACCGCAGCACTCTTTCATGCAACGCCTGCGGGATGACTACTCTGTCTGAGAACATGACGCAATCGTTCACAATGGACACCGAATGTCTTCGCTGATAGAATTGCTGCATTTCAGCAGATGAACACGAACGTGGCCAGCTGGTTCTGTGGAAGTGTGCAACCTTCTTCACGATTACATCACGAAGCGTTTCGACCCGCACAGCATCGGCTGTAACTGGCAGACCATGTAATGCCTCGCACACCAGGAATTTGACAGCTTCGATCTCAACTGAGGCTATGATGGTGTCATCGTGTGCTTGCTGCTGGGAATCAATGAGCCATGACAACGCATCTGCCTGGTCCATCGAAACAGTTGGCTGATAACGGATATCAGAATCATAGCTCGGCAATGTGAGTGCCCATTGTTGGAATCGATTGACTGTATAGGCCGGAATTCCCTTCTTCGAGCCGAAAATGACCAGCAGCCGCTTGTAATCCGTCAAGAGTTTGAAGCGACGACCAAATAGCATCTTGTGAAATTTCTTCACAGCAAACACTATGGCCAATGCCTCCTTCTCGATCTGACTGTATTTTCTTTCGTCAGCGTCCTGGCGGCATGTGCGATCCCCTTTTGAGATCCATCTGGGAACGTATGGGAAACTATCGCACCGATCCCTAGGCTCGATGCGTCTGTGACAAGGACAATTTCCCCGGAGGGATCAAAGTGAGTCAAGAGTAGGTTTGAAGTCAGCAATGAGTTGGCCCGCTCGAACGCAGTCTGGTATTCTGGTGTCCAATTCCAAGTTTGGCTCTTGCTCAGCATCTTGTTCGGCTGGGAACGCAGGCAATGCATTTCGGGCAGAAAAGCGCTGTAATGACTGATTAGGCCACAGAATGAACGCAGCGATTGCAAGCTCGCAGGCGAGGGCATCTTTTGAATAGCTCGGATATTTTCTGGATCAGGGCGACGACCGTCTTTTGGGAAAATGAAGCTGAGGAACTTGATGTGTGGTGTAAAATATGTACACTTGTCTTCACCGATACGGAAACCATATGACTGGATACGTACAAGCACTTCAGCGAGCCGTTGAAATAGTTCTTCTGCCGTCCGACCCATTAAAATGATATCATCCAGGTACGCCGCGACTCCAGAAACTCCCGCGAGCATGGTGTCCATCAGCTGCTGGAAGATGGCTGGTGCTGTTTTCACGCCAAAAGGGAGGCGGTTGTACTGGTACAAGTCACGATGAGTATTGACGGTCAGCAATTCTTTCGAGCTTTCATCAACCTCAACCTGGAGGTAGACATCGGACAAATCGAACTTGGCGAAACACTTCCCCCATTTAGCTTGGCAAAGATATCCTCTGGTATCGGAAGGGGGTATTGATGGTCGTCCAATGCGGCATTCAGGCCAGTCGAAAAATCGGCGCAGACTCGCACTTTACCGTTCGGCTTTCTCACAGCAACAATCGGCGCAGCCCATGAAGACTAGTTCACTGATGTGATGACACCGGCTCGTTCCAGTCGGTCGAGCTCCTGATCAACTGCTGTCATGGCTGCATACGGTACCGGTCTTTTTGCTCTAAAGACTGGCTTGGTTCCTTCACGAAGACACAACTTTGCTTTGAACTTAGTGCAGTGAGCGAGACCATCTTCAAACAAGGCGACAAATTGCTGCTTTAGCTTTTTGGTCATCTCTTCTATCGACAATGATGAATGTACTGGGTCGGTTTGTACTCTATTGCAAATCTGACTCATTGGAACATCAAATAGTTGTAATTTTTCCATCCAGTCAAGCTTAGGGAGGTTCAAGTTTGGTCGATCAGACAAGTAGCAGGTTCCGGCCTCTTCCACTCCGTTGAATGCAATTTTGCAATTTATTTCTCCGACCAGCCTCAGCACTCCACCGGATGCGTTGTGGGCAACTTTGTTAGAATCAACCATCTTCGGCTTCTTTATGTGCTTCCAAGTGTTCTTGGAAATGATCGTTATATCTAATGCCGTAACGAACTGCAGCCGAGTCGAAATTCCGTTGATAAGTACAGTGATAAATCGACGGTGTGTTCTAGAATCGCTGTGAAACGTGGCAATCACCGATAGTGATTCTGCGCCAGGCTTCCTGAAGTTTTACCTTTGATAGGACTACTTCACGTTTCTTGGCCGGGACTGATGGCAAACGTCTTTCTTGTGGCCGCTTGAATGGACAGTATCGTGCGAAATGCCATTCACCACATGACCAACAAGGTGTAAGCGGCTTGTTCGGCGTTCTGTTGAACGGCTTGTTCGAGCCAGCCTTTCTTGCTGTTTGCACAGCATGAACAGTATCGGCAATAATGGGGCGATTCTGCTCAATCATAGCGGTGTCGCGTTTCAAAATAATCAACCGTTTGCATTCGCCTAGCAGGGACTTCAATGTCAAATCTGGATCTTATTCCAACTTAGCGAGGAGCCGAGTGCGGATTTCTGCGTCGCGTGGAGACTGTAAAGCACTGACAAGTATGAAACACTTAAACTGGTCATCCATTAAACAGCGTAACTTGAAAAGTCTGCATTACCATGTCTGCTAGTGCCCCATAATCGTCCGTATCATGCCTAACCATTTTTAGACATTGGTGCGAGTGCTAAACAAAGACGTCGACTCACCAAAAAGTTCTTTGAGTGTTGCTACTGCTTTATTGAGAGTGATGTCCTTCGGCTCTTTGGGCAGGATGTGTTCCACGAATCTTGAATGTTCATTAGTACCGAGCTTGCGGAGCAGAAGAGGCACTTTCCATGAATCATCTTGACAGCTGAAAGCCGTCCGGAACATGTCCTCACAGCGTTTGACCTACGCGTCCGATGTGCATTTGGAATCAGCATCATAATGAAATCCATTGATTGAATTCGTAAGAAGATCAAGTGAAACAGTTTGCGTGTCCCGTGTAGCTGCTCCGTTTGACTGTACGTCCAAGCACTGCGTCAACTTTAAATCAGTTTCATTTTTGCCTCCATCTGTGATTGTTGCTGAAGAAGCAGCTTTTGCAAATGTTCGGCGGAATATTTTGTAATATTTTCGTGCTTGTCCGTTGCCATTGTTAGATCTTCACGTTTTCAAGCTATTCCGAATTAAACACCCAAAAAATTTCTCAGCTAAAATTCTAACCCAGCCGAAGAAAAATCAAAAAGTGTTAACAAAAATGCTGTCAAATGTAGCCAAAAACGCCGCCAAAACGCTGTACAACTACGCCAGACCTACGCCAAATATATAGGGGGCTCAATGACCTTCGGCTTCAAGGAAACAAAGGTCAACTGGTAAAATTAGCAGCCTCCCGGCCAAAACTCCGTATGCTGGCGACCACGTGAAGGAATGGAAGGTTCCGGAATCTTCCAGATTTAAGGCACGATCGAAGATAATCGATTAGTTGCTAAAATAATGGGTTTTCCTTTATGTTTTTACCTTTTCTCGGATAGTATCTTCACCCCGATTTTTCAGGGTAGTAGCCATTTGGCCCCCGCGAGCTATCGCCCAGTGACTTTTTCCCCATGCTATCAAGAGTGATGCAGCCGCTCGCAACGAACGTACTAGTGATCTATTTCGAATGATCTAACATTATAATGCGGGAGCAACGCCTTCCGTCAACTTCGGTCATGCACTACCAACCTACTGAATGCGCGTGGCAATTGGCTCGAAACAGCTGATACTGGGACCGGAACCGATGCCATCTCGACCCGTCGAAAGCCTACAATCGCTTAGAGTACCCAGTCATAGAAAAACTGCAAACAAACAGAATTAGGAAACCTGTTCTTGGATGAATCGGAGACTTCTTCTTCAGTGGCGGCTGCAGGTTCTGCTTCTTTGCTCATTGTCCGATTCGCTGAAGTAGAGTGCACTGTTCCACAAGGATCAATGTTGCGGCCACGCTTATGTTTAGTCTTTATCAACGATATCACGCATGTCATCGAGTCCAGTTTCTTGAATTGTGCCATTGACATAAATATATGGTGTCTGATCGGTAATCAAGATGATCACGATCTCTTGCAACGATTCGTGGAATGTGCTTTTGAATAGTCTTGGATAAATCCAATTCCATTCAATGCGAACAAGTGTAAAACTACATGCACACAATAAGGCCACCAACACATATAAGCTCGAAGACCACGTTTCGAAAACTACTTCACAGGAGCGCGACCTAGGAGTGTTAATGCAGGACGACGTTGGCTTTTCGGAACAGCCTTTGAACTTGTTCAAAACCACGAACCGGCATATGGGTCTCTAGCGCAGGGCGTTCGGACGGTCCGACCCTTCCATTTTTCCACAAACGCTCAACTCCTATGTGAGGCCCCAAGTCGAGTACGCGTTTCATGCTTGAACGCCATGGCTAAAATGCAATCTAGCTGCACTGGCGACCCCACATCGAAGTGCAATCAAAACTGTGAAGGGCGTGTTCCCTCTGCCATACCAGCTGCCGCTGAAAGCCGTAGTATTGTACAGCCGAAGTTATCGTCGTCTGCGGGCTGACCGGGTTTTGGCATGTCAGATTTCCTAGAACCTTAGTCACGTTTGCTGCCACCTAGAGAAACTTACGCACTGCACAAAACTGATGGGCCACCAGCTGAAACTGGACACACATTGCAGTCGCCCGGAAGCCAACCGGAATTATTTCCCCTTTGAATTTGTCAACTGTGGAACGATCTTTCGACATTTTTTCATTACTGCGCTAACGTTAGCTATCTGAAAATTTACTCGATGATGTATTACACTATTTGCATTTCGTGATATTTGTCCCGCTCATCGATTAACTCAAGACACAAACAAACATTGTGCACACCAGCCCCCCACCAGATCCGGATGGACGGATATACATATATACTAACATGGATTATATGGTGTGTCTACAGATGGGTATTTCACTTTGCTGTCATTTTTTTGATATTGTGCAACTCCACTACTCCGCTAGTCTGTCTATCCACAACACTGTTCACCTCCAGTGATGGTCAGCCTATGAGCCATGCCATGACTAAATCACGTCACCGAACATGATTTTTTAATACAACATCTGGCCTAGCATATCCGGTCTGTACACAACTCCAGGAAGGTGGTAAAATCACTGACATCCTGATGTTCTGCCCGAGTGAGTGGACCAGATCTCATTTTCATGTCCATATTTTTGAAGGCTGGTCGTGCCGTAGCCCATAGGTAATGAGCTTGTCTCGAAATCTTGTGGCGCGTGTTCGTATCCGCGTAGGGTGGTCGTTCTCGCGGTATACGTAACCCGCATGCGACTGGTGGGATCGCACGGCAGCCAAGCGCCGTTACAGCGTACAGCTGACACATTATCGTTAGTATTATTCTTCGAGGCTTTTCTACTGACATGAGCAGATTACTTTTGACACGGTACCGAGGGCTCGTTTGCTCAATGTAGCCAAGGATATAATGTTTTCTTACGGATTTGCAACACCTCGAGCTATCTCACTTCCATTGCAATGATACTGTCGATTGATGAGAATCGAAACAATTCTCAGTGTACCTGCCTTGTTTGGGTCACCCGTACTTTTGTGCTACTCAGCGAAGTTTAACGCATCCGAACAGCATTCACTGTTCGCTAACCCGGTTTTCTCATCTGAATGGCATTGAAACACGACTTGAAATCCTTTTTTATATAATACCTCCAATTAACACAGTTAAAACAGTTGGCTACGAGTTGAGGATGTATCTCTAGTCCGTGACTTGTGCCCACTTGTTCTGCCCACCATTCTTCTTCTATCCGGCACATTCGGCGTTGTCACTTTTCCCGCCAACTGGCTATCTAATGTGCTCCGTCCAATGTGAGCCCAACAATCCAGGATGGGCCGTTTGTAGCGGCGTCTGGTTACCGCAGAGATACACGGGTAAATCACTGAGTAAAGACACATGAGAAATATGACGATGGTTCGGAAACTCTGACCGCCTCCCAAGTTTCGAGAGTTTGGATACTGCGATAACAGTTTGTTCACTTCCGCCACCCCACTAAATGCCAGAACGAGCCAGACGTCTTCCAAACTATTCAATCGCACTTCGTTATATGCGCTAGCAATCTTATTCTTGCTTCTCATACGTATAGTGCGTAATACTTGTTGATAGGCTTGCACACTGAACACCATCGGGAGAAAGAAATTGTATAGAAAGTTGAACAAGGCAGTCAAATGCAAGGTGATCTGTGCACGCTGTGCCACGTGATCTTTCATCATCCGTATCAGGTGACACGACCCCTTCTCCCAGTCAAACTCCGCCCAGTAATAGTTGGAGACACCTTCCAAGAGTATAGAAAGCGGAATGATGATGAGCAGAATTATCAGTACGCTTTTTCCGCGCTTTTCGATACGCATGAAGGGGTAAAGGAACTGTACGTAATAAAACATCGCTGTCAACATAATGGTATTCATACGTGCGCCTATCAGACCCCAAAGCAGGGCGTGTGAAGCCACCAAATGACAGATCAGATATCCGTATACAGGGAACGAAGGATGAGTACGGTACTCTGATGCATCCACAATACACACCAGACAGGTGATCAAATCAAGTACAGTTTGCACAATTCCTGAGATCAGAAGGGGTTCATTCGGTTTCCGAAAGCGCACCAGAACGATCAAGAGCACCAGGTTGACGAGGAGCCCGGCGGTGAAAAAGCATAATCTGGTCACATACCAAGTTTTATTATCCGTCAGGATACCTTCCTCCGCCGGGAATAACATGATATCGTTGCTGTTGTGATTGTTTCAGCGTTTCACGCGTCAGTACTTTATGTGACTTTTTCGAATATGGTCACGTGTTGAGGAGACTACATTCGTTCGATACTTTTCGAGCATCGACTATCAGGAGTGGAAAGTCGGCAGTGCGTCTTCAGAAAGATCATTGATGGCTCATCCTACTCGACTCACTGATTCCACATGCTATGTCGCCCCGAAAGGAATCAGACTGTAAAGTGCGAGACTGATGGCCACGAATAATCCACTGCGTCTAAGATTCATATCTGCTGTGTGTGGACGAAACCCATGGGGAATGTCGCAGAGGAATGGGGGTGCTCAAGACACAGCTACACTTTACCTCGTAAGGCTGTAGGTGCATTCCGCATGAAACACAGAACTGATGTCAGTATGTCGCATATCGTTGTAATACTGGCGGATACTTGCGTAACGAAAGTATACAACGTGGGTATTGAACCGTATTTTGTTAAATGATAAAAAAATCATCTTCAAATCCCGCTGGAGTTGCGAAGACTACTCATTCCATCGCTCCCAGTATTTATTCACATTTCCATTACAAACAGTCATTCATAGCTGCAATGGACTAGTGGCATCTCGGTGCATAGATACAGGCCAGCTGGCGAAGTCAGATGTTCCAAATGCATATCAGAGTACGCCAGCATCTGATCACATTACAGGGCCGCTGGTCGCATTTTCACCAAACTGGATATTGGGTCCCTATATACAGTCTCCGGAAGTTTCAGATGTATGCCGACACATTCCGGCTGAGGGCGAACACAAGGAGACTTGCACAGTCCTCAGGGCGAAACTGCGTTCTAGCCAGAAGAGAGACCGCAAAGTCTGGTTGTCTCATTGTCCATGAGAGAACGAATCGGGCGCTGCCCTTGGCAACCATCGGAAGTTATTCAGTCTGCTACAAGAAACTGGCAGAAGGAGACCTAGTGTTAGCGAGAGGATACGTCATACAGACGGGCGGTCATAGCTTGTTTATATATATATATATATATATATATATATATATATATATATATATATATATATATATATATATATATATATATATATATATATATATATATATATATATATATATAGTGCCCCAGGCTGAGGCTGATGTCGCATTCATAATGCTTCTTCACCGCAGTTGGGCTTAACCAACTTACACTTAAACTAGGTCTTTTTAATGTGGATAAAATTCATTACATGTTGTTTGGTTTGTTCTGCGTACTTGATGATCTTCTCCCAACTTACACACGTCGCTCATGCAAATTGTGGTAAATTTGCGTAATTTTATCGCGTGATTTTTTAAATAACTTTGGGACATTTTGTACTTATCGCGTATTCACATTTAGGCACTTTCTTCCATATGCTCATTTAGCGCGTATTTATGTCGTCAAATGCGTTTACTTTATTCGATACCGGCATTTCTAATGATTGGCTGTTGTTTTACATCCCAGGTGTGGCTGCGCTTGATGTGCATGTTGACAAGGTGCCTACCTGTCTATTACCCATTACCACGTCCATACTGGCTCCAGGACACCGTTGGTCGTTACTGGAGGGGACGGGGTGCACGGTCCATGTGGCCGTGCTAGGCTCGAAGAGTGGTTCCATGCACTCAGTGTGGAGCGGACTACAGTCCAGCCACCGCCTTGTGTGCGCTTGATTCCCCAAATACACCGTGCTTGTGTTTGCCTGTGAAGCAGTGTGGGCCGGCTCCGTTGATGAAACGTGGTTCCCATCCGCATGCCTCCCGGTGTTATTCCTTCGGGTTTACACTGGATATGGGGTGTGTGGATGGAGCTGTGGGTGGTGCAGCGAAAGCCATCCATGGTCCCTCTGTAGACGCAGGCGTCCTGTGGCTGGCCATAGTGACAGGCAAATCCGAAACCGGATGCCGCCAACCATATATATATATATATATATATATATATATATATATATATATATGTTGATGAAAAATGGAAAGGGAGGTCATGGCTACCTGCCTTGATGATGTCAACTGCATCACATCAGTCGGCTACTCGTAATGCCACATCTATGAACAGTTGAGGGTTGCAACAGGGGAGACGGTCGTGGGAACAATGTGTAAACGGCTCGAGTGGTTTGCTGACAACGATGTGACCATAGGCGCATCGGTGTCGGAAAAGAATGTAGCTTCCGTTGAGCATTTGGTGAAACCTGCCGACTCGGAGAAAGAGAATGAGTTTCGCAAAATTCGACGGCGATTAACTCGAGAGCTCTGTCGCATCAAGTATGCATGGTGGACGGAGTAGGCGAAACATTTGGAATGCTACGACGAACGCCACTAATATAAGGAATTCCTTGTCTCCGTGAGGGCGCTGTATGGACTCACGTTGCAGCTACTGAGGACGCTGCTTGATCCTATTTCAGGCGCTTCCTCTACACAGACTTCAAACATAATGCAGATTTAGTGAAAACACTTTGATTGTCACTTGAACAACCGTTCAGAGAGCGACTGATCTACGTCGCATGGGCTGCATTAGCAAGAATTGATGATGTATCTAACGGCCACACTGACACTGCAAGAGACGCGGGGAGTACTTGCTCAGCTGCGAAACGGCAATGGCGCTGTGACCGACGGGATCCCGTAAGAGGTGTTGGAACACGGCTGACCCGCTATGTTACAAGCACTGCACTGATTGGTGTAACTCGTGGGGTTTGAAGAAGAGGTGCCTGTTAAATTGGAGGATGCCCTCCTTCTGCCACTGTACAAGGGAAAATGGAGCAGGCAGTGTGCCATGAATTATCATGGTAGCAACTTACTGATCGCCCGAATCCTGCTCACCGCCTCGTCACTCAGGTAGTAGAGCCCAACATGGTGGAAGAGCATTGCTAGTTCCGATCGGGCCGCAGCACTATAGCTATGGTGTTAGAGGCTCGTCAGAAACGGACAGAATCACAGAAAAATGTACCCTTGCACTTATTCAGTTTGTGCCCACTAATTTGTTGATGTTTGAGCACAGTGGATAGCATCTCTGTGTTCTGTACTCAGCATGCTGTCTAGATAGGCGCAATGGAAAGGCATCTTTTTGATCAGGTTATCACTGATGTTTTGGAACGTCGCCAGGGTTGAACTGATTCCGTTGGGCTGACGTTTTCACTGGAATAGTCCCCTGTGGGTACTTATCGTAGTATCGTCTGACTCCATTTGTAAGTACGCTTGACTGAGGTCGATCCGCGTGAACTTTTGTCCTCCTGCTAGCGTAACATACATATCCTCTATCTGAGGTAAGGGATTTTTACCCAAAAGTAAACAACGACTAATAGTTTATAGTCACCGCAAATACGTACAGAACCATTCGAATTCAGGATTGGAACTATTGGGGTTCTCACTCACTGTATTGAACTGGCTCGATTGTTCCTGCTGATTACAATCACTTTTCTCGTATGCCACATTCGATCTCAGGGAATAAGGTAGAGTAGGTGCTCTGAAGAAACGGGGCTTATTTGCCGGCTCTAATCTTATTCTAGCCTGATATTCGTTCAGTTTTCATTGTTTATCGTCAAAATCGTCGGAATAGTTATGAAGTCCTTCAAGCGCTGATTATTGGACATGAAGTTCACTGTCTCCAGGGTTGCCGGGAGGCATTTAAACTGGTCGCGCCTGAGTAGGTTTGGACAATGATCAGCCATAACGTATGTCCGTAAGCTCCGTTTCTCCCCATGGTACTTAATATGGATAGTGCACTTTCCTAAGACTGGTATCGTTTTTCCGGTGTGCGTCCGCAAAGTTGATTCACAGGGAATAACTTGGGTAATCCTTTCTCAGATGCAAAACTGATTTTGGTAACTAAGGCATCGGTGTCAATTTCCATTTTGACCAACTGACGTTCTATTTGCAATTGCACAACGTAAGGCGGATGAACGCCACAGATGCTAGACGTTGCGTTCCAAATCGTGTTTAGCTGGTCATTTCTGTCTGAATACGGGACGATTTTCACGGGCTTCTTTGGAAATCGTGATGTCGCAACTGTGCCAGCTTTAGATCGGCAAACTCGGACCATATGCTCTAATTTTGCACACTGGCGAAAGATAATCTGTTTATGACGACATCCCTCGATCAACAAATGCTGATTTCCACATCCGTGAGAAGTAAAAGGTAATTCGGACCTCCTCAGGTAATATTTTTTGGTCGGTTGCTTGCATTGTGTCTGTATACGGTTGCTGGGAAAGGTACCTAATTGTTTTTGAACTTTCTCCAGCTACCGAACAATATTACAAGTCTTCTTCCGACACTTCTTCTTCTCACCTTCCGACAGCGGCCTTGCATGAGTCTGATCGTTATGGATACCGGATGTCAGTCACTTTAGAGCCATTGCTACGACGGACTTTCACTTTAGTTCGTCGCATGCGTTTTGGAGGATCGCATAGGCATATGCTCTACCGAATGAACGTCGGATATCTACGATACCCTGCTACGCTACCTAATTACCAGGCCCCTGTCAACACTGCTTGCTTCAGCTTCTGACGATGCATTTAACCTACAGTGGATGAGCACCTAAGATGCTTTACGTACTATCATCATTGATAGTTGCGGAATTACCTGTCACTCACCTAAATGCTGGATTACTTTGTCCGCTATCACTGATTGAGAGACGTGTCTCGGTTGCTGCCTGCGCCGGCTGTAATAAAGAACGTCGATCCCTGGATCAGCTATTGCGCATACGTTTGCACGTGGACCCTGAAGCCGGGTAGTATGAAGGTGCTATAGAAATGGAACTAGCTAGTCCCTCTGATAAGACCAGCATACTTTTCTGTCTCATTCGAGGCACCGAAGGTTTCCCATCTGGTGAGGCGAAACAAGCGTTGAAGAGAATGGCTCTTTGATCATTTATCTTCGACGACGGGTTGAACGATGGGCTGAACATTTTGGATTACAATTTCGTTGGCCACCCAGCCACATCTGCTTCCTCTGGAGCGCGCAATCATGCTGAATGGTCTGTCTCCACAGATCTTCCTTCTCACCAGGAATTCCGGCACGAACTCCGCTTCCTTAAGCGTCAATCAGCAGCTGGCTCTGATGGTTCACCTCCTA